CGCCCTTCCACTCCTTTCAGACAATCGCCCTCTAGATCTGGCGCCACATTTCGTCGCCGCCGCAATGACACCACGATACCTCTCTCTAAAACGCAACCCGTACCATCGCCTGACGGCTTCTCGGTGCGCACAACTCCCAAGACGTGCAACTCTGAATCGAGGTGGCCCTCATTCCAAACATCGTTACCACGTCCTCGGCCGTGAGCCCAAGCTCAGCATCTCCATGGACAGCGCGTGTGGCACGCCGGACCTGCCCTATCAAGAGGTCACAACAGCGGAGGCTCAAACAACCCTTTACCTTGGACGCAAGGTAGCTAGCTGTCAAGACATTAGAAAGGATCATCCATTAATATTGCTGAGGCCATTGTCAAGATGAAGGTGAGTGAGATACTCGCATCCAGAGAGAACAAGAGGCTGACCTACCACCTTTACCCGCCCAGCCCGATAATCGACAATGCTGTCTGCCCGCCATTCGAGGGTATTCGAGATCGAGGAGTGGGAACGTGAAGATGTCTGGTCAGAAGATTTTCGTTTTATCTTGGCAGCCAGTCAGGCGAAGGGGACTGGCGCCCACGAGCAAGCACTGCTGCTTTTCATCGCCCAACCATATCACCAACGAGACTGTTGCTCATCTTGGCGTCACTGGCGGTGGTGACGATGATTCTCGCCAGCAACAAAGGACGAGCCCGAGGCCGCTTCTGCGTGGAGCGCTTCTACTGGAGGTGACGGCAGTGATGCTTGGTGGTTGGATATACCTGCATTTTCCAGCGAGCCTTGGGTTACGTCAAGGATGGCCATCATACTCTGATAGATGTGAAGAAAAAATTGGGGCACGGGCTTCGATCGTACGGAGTAAAGGACTCAATAGTGGTGATGGTCAGAGGTCCAAACCCCCGACCCGCAGCGACAGCCAAAGAGGCAGAAGCAAGACGACCTGTTCTTTAAAAATGACAAGGAACTATCCTTCGAAGACGATAGTTTTCATTACATAAGATTCAAGCCACAAATTCCAGGGCTCCCCACGCAGGATCTTGATAAGCAAGAGGGCATGGCTATCCCGGACAACAAGATAGGCAGGAAGTTCACTCTTTCACCCAGCTACGATCCTTCATTCAGTCGGCACTCTCTGGGCAACTTGCAAAGCCTCAAACTCGACAGCGTAGCCGCGCATACAGACGATGGCCAGGTTGAGTCCTTGCCTTCAGAGCTTGCGCTCCAGAACCTGGACGAAGCAAGCTCTCACCTAGAGCACGGCAAATAGCTCCCACACCTTACTGTCGACTCCCCGAAACCGGCTGTGGTACGTCAGCGCGTCAGCCGGACCGCGTGGATGGACAAACCGCAGCTCATGCACTGCCTCAAGCTCATTGCCAGTTCTGCTTCCAGTCCCTGGTTGGTCGTGGACTCACATCAGCTGGGCCAGGATCTCGGCCAAGACGTCATGCGTTACAAAACTTTGGTTCTCCCACTATTCGTTTCAGGCAACCACTGGTCACTCGCCGTGTTACATAGTGGAGGTCCTGGAATCGTTTCAATAGCCGATTACTATGACTCGATGACAAACAGAGCCCATTCCAAAGAGGCTGGAGACCAGCTTGACATCTTTTGCCGAGCTCTCCTTCCTTAAGCACGTCCCCTACAGGCTCTAAGCGCAGCCTGCCCACAGCAGGACAACAGTAGCGACTGTGGCGTCTTTGTCGTAGCGTACCTAGCACACCTTGTTGCTGGTATGGCCCTGCCCTTGTTGCTAGATGGGTGGCTATGACGGCTTATTGTTTATGTTATGCTTAAGTCCTGCAAAACCCCTATCGGCTCTCCTGCAAAGCCTATGAACGCAGTTGAAGTCGGTCAACTAATTCTAAACGAGTAACTAAACTCAGACTTGTACGCCGTGCCTAGTGTTAGGCTTGACGATGTCCCTCTCCCTAACATACCCTGGGACAAGTCGACTCCATTCCAAGCGGAGGCTGCCAAAGAGTACGCAGCAGCAATGCAAGATTAGCAATCTCGAGTCGATGCACATGTGCGTCTGTTGATGAGGTCAAGGCGCGCTGGGTGGCTGGCAGCGGTAGACCAGATGAGGCGTGCGTCGGTGGTCATGGGTCGGCTGCTCTGCAGCTCAAGGTTGGCCTTGACAGAAGCTCAGCGTGCCGAGATGGAAATCCGCCTGGAGATGATGCGAGACCAAGGGCGGCTTGGCGATAGAGGAGGGAATGACGTGAGACAGCAGCAGCCGCAATAGAATGCAGCAGCAGACCGTGTGGCCACTATCCATAGTAACAACGACGTCTTGGAAGTCCTCGTAGTCTCACTAACAGCAGCATGCGCGGTTCTCGAGTCGCAATTATAGGCAAGCGAAGAAGGACAAGAAGAGGACCACGCAGGACAGCAGAAGTAGTAGTGGTAGTAGAGATTTTGTTTTTTAGGTCGCATTAGACCCTCACACAGTGACGCAAACAGGAGGAAGGGAAAGAAGAAGCTCACCATAAGGGATGGGGAGAGGTTACTTATATCCTTCTTTCTTCTTCGCCTCATGCTTTCCTCTCCCCCTATATTCACTACCTTCTTGTCTAAGTTTTACAAGTCTCACCGAACTCTCAGTCACAGCCTAGAAATACCTCTTGCAAATAGCAGTCAGAAGTAAATAAGACAAGACAGGTAATACAGGTCTCTTCCTTCTGTCCCAAACTAACTGCTTAGCTAGTCGTGACGCGACAAGATGACCGGTTCCTGCATCTACATGCCCTTCCCCCCCCCCCCCCCCCCCGCCGGCTTATGCGAGGCCAGATTCGCAGACCAATGATGGACGAGGAACCACGTTCCTTCATAAAGTGAAACAGCACAGGGCGACTTGGCCGCCGTCGCAACGGGACGCGGCCTAGCTGTAATAAATGTTGCTTGAGCTTACCGACTTACTGATACTAAAGCGGGACACGTCGGCAAGATTGTCTTCCTAGCAAGGGCAAAGTCCTCGTCCTCGTCCAGACCCAGCACTAACCCCTAGCTTACCAACGATGACCCTCTGCCTAAAGACGGTACTGACGCAGTAGACAGTTTAGTGAAACTCCCGTGTAGTTTACCTATAGCACGCCCGGAGCACTTCATTCCTTGGTATGGGATGTGCATGCATCATGGACCTGAAGTCAAGGTCTGATGGCTCGGTGCCCCTTTCGATCTACGGTGAACCTATCTGAAGCATCACCAACTATTGTCGGCTACCTATTCGCCTGTATACCAAGGATGGTCGAGGAAAACCAGGGCCAATATACTGTTTGCGTCCACCAGGCAAGATATTGAATGACCCGAACGACCTGATACGTTCCTTTGAGGTCTGTGGTAGACCCTATGACTTTCTTGGACCACAAGATCTGCATCATGAGTCAGCGAAGGAAATTGGAGGAAAACGAAGGGTGCTTACGGTGCTGGTTCCCTCTCTCGTCGAGGCCACGAAATGCCAATCTTCTCCTTGGACAATGAGGCCTGGCAGGAAGGCCAAACCTTGCAGCGTGGCCCCCCGTATCTATGCAAGACGGTCGAGATACGCCCATTGAGCAGCATGCCATGCTCCAATCTGCAGGTGTGCGTCGTCAAGGCTGGCACCGCGTTGCTTTGACTCAATGCTCAACGAGATGGGCTTGTTGCGAAAGCGGAAGTGGGAGGTATGGTTGATAGACGAGTGGCCCGACATGTGCCGCATGTGGTTGATGACTTCGGTGATGGCGGGCTGATGTGGTGCTTCGGTCGATTCGGGATCGATGAAGATGCACAAGTCGACCATGCGAGGTGGGGTGTCTTTTATGAACTTGGAATGGATTGCTGCCGTCGTCCTTCGAGGGGAGGAAAAGAGGAACAACGTCAGCCCAAACGTCACATCACTTGCCAAAACACAACATCAACAGTGATACGTACGATGGCGCAAAGTTGACTAGGCCGTCTTTGGCGCCGGCGAGGGGACGGCACAAGGACAGGGCGAGCAGCCGGAGGTACACTTCGCGATCCCAGCTGGCCTCGTCAAACTGTTCCTCAACACCATACTACAAAGTCTAAACAATAGCATTCACCTTAGTAAAGGAGGGCACAGGTCCGTAATGTTGTAAGTGTGCACCAGTTGTATCATAAAAAGAATTGTTGTTAAACTTAGTACCAGGATTCGACATAAGAATTGAGCCCTGTGCAATAATGATGTTGATGAGTTAGTTAGAGTACATCTATTGCGATTCAAAGTGGTCTGTCCGGATAAGGGAAGGGGGAGCAGGGAAGCAAGGGCATACCTCATTGCTCTTTTAAATAATACCTCTGCCTTTCGCGATCCTGGAAATGGTATTGAGAGACTCTCGCAGGCTACGCAGGCCCGGCCTGGTGTCGACGTCCTGGATTGTCCGTATAGCATCCAGCGCAAGGATCTTGATCAGATTCCAGACTTTTGACAGTTTGTTGCTTTTACAAAGCCACTTCTCAACAAATATCCGGATCAGTGAGAAGGGCATAGAGCGGCATAGACTAGCTAACTAAGATCGTGCTACTATTTAGAAGCTAAGCCCTGAGGTAAAGTCTCAACATGAGGCTACAGACTTAGGGACTCCTTACAAAAGCCTCGGCGGCAATAGGTACGGCATTTGTGCGGAACAATGCGTCCCCTCCCATCTGCGCATTTGCTTGTCGACACCACTAATGACTTGTACCAGGCCATGTCACAAGGTGTCGCAAATTCTACACTTCAAATTTCCACCCTGCAATTATCCAGCTGACAATTCTTTCCTGGTCGCAGCGCACAAGAGTGCGGCACTGATATCTTTCATCATTCAGACTGAAGACTCCCCCCTTACACTCAAGTCCCCAAGTGCTTCCGAAGTGAAAGCCGACAGTTGCCGCTCGCGTGATCTGCGCCCTACGGCCCCGTCAGGGAGGGAGCGTGGGAGGTAGGCTTGCAGCCGGCCTTCGAGTTAGGACGGTGGCCTTAGGTAGGTCGCCTATCACTCCAGAAAGGACGAGGTGGCGGGGACGGACGAGCCGCCCGTGGCAGATCAATCGATCTACGCCTTTACCTCTATCGATCGATGGTGCGCAGGTGTGCCTGTCAGACGGACGGGATTCCCAAAACATTGTCAAGAAACCACGGCCAAAAGTGGTCACGTGTATCCTGCGCGAGGAGCTGGATGGCGTAGATGATGCTATATACCCCAAGCGCAGTCCGAGTGGTGCCAAGATCCACCTCCCTCCAGAGAGTCTTGCCAAAGGTTAGCACTGTTAAAGACGAAGTAATAGTAGGATGAGAATGAGGAGGAGGGGGAAGTGGCGTGGAGAACGAACCGTGCTGCGGCCCTGCCTTGTCGTCGCTGCGAAAAACCAATGATGGCCACGAACGAATATAGCTGGGAGATAGCCGAGCTTGTCCAAAACCTTGTGGCAGTGTTCCTCGAGCTCTGGGCCCGGCTCACGACCCGGATCCATGGCAAGCAACCGCTTCTCGACGAGGTGGTGAAGGAAGCGCCATTGAGCGGCCTGCCACGAGCCCGTCTGGAGCGCCTGCTTCTGCTCACCATTATCAGGCCTCTTAGTCTCGATGCTGACGGCGATGGGGTCGAAGAGGAATGGATAGTGGTCGGTGTGATTGATGGATTCCCCTGGGAGCTGTCTCCGCAGCTGGTCGATAGCATGTACGATCGGACCGCGGCTATCCTCGACGCTACGGGGCCGAAGGACGATAGCGAAGTCGACCATGGTTGCCGGGTACCATGTGGATTTGTGGCGATAGGCCTTGTTTGGTCTGGCGTGCGTGCTTTATAAAGCAAAGGGTTAGGATCGGATCGGTCGAACAAGGGCGCAGAGGAGCTGAAGAGTTGGGGCTCAATTGGTTTTACTCACCAAGAGTCGAAGTCGACGAGCTGGTTCTTCCTCGCGTAGCAGCCGTGGATAGCCAAGCGAAGTAAAGGGAAATGAACGGCGCAATTCCAGCTGTGCTCCGTATGCTGAAGCTCCTGGCAGTGCGATGCCTCCCGGACAATCGCTAGCACGTCGTCAATGGCCGGTGTCGGCCCGAGCCTGTCTCTCTTCCCAGACGAGTCGAAAGCCGCTCTTCCCATACGGGCAATCTTGCCACTTCTGGCCGCATCTTGGAATTCACTCTGCCATTTCGTTCCTGTCAGCACTCGTATAGTCCTAGCAGCCAACGGCGTAATCAAAAACTAGAGAGGTTGCTTCTCACCTCCATTTTGACAGGCAGCAAGCCCTCAGCGCAGCCCAAATATTCCATCTTCTCGAACAGACTGAGCAGCGGCCCGTCGGGTATGCTGTCAGGCCTTGTGAAGGGTCTCGTCTCAAGAGGTTCGTTGACATCGAGGGCCATTTTGGCGAGCTTCTTGGTCGGGGATGATCGACCGGATACATCGGAAGGGGTTTCGGAAGATTCGCTGGGTAACTGGCTGGACGATGATGGGGGCGGAAGACTGTTCTGGTAGATGCTGCCCTGCTTGGGCGTCGCATCGACATCCTCGATTGTGTGGCCTATCTTCTGGCGCTTGGCCGTCGGCGTCGGGGGATCATGTGCCATAATCTCGGAGCCAAGATCATCTGAGACGGGGGGGGAGATCGGGTGTCTGTGTCGTTTACGGTACCCTGGGTTGACTACTTGATGACGGTTCGGCGGTCGGTCGGTCGCGTCAAAGTTGGCGCCGTCGCCATTAGGGATTTGCGATAGCCAGGCCGAGATGTCGACAGGTCTCGTCAGCATTAAGAAAGATCAAAAAGAAAACTGATGATACCAAAGATGATGTTGATGCGGGTGCAGTAACGCCCCCAAACTTGAGGATGGTATGGCCGGTTGCATGATTGATGGTGAAGCTCCGGATGTCAATTTGGCATTGCGGGGGAACCGCGCCAGTGGTGTTTGTTTCCACAGCAACGCTGACAGACAGGTGCTGGAGTGGATTACGTAACAAATTGCTGGCCTAAGCTTTTCTCTGCACGAACCACCTCGCACCGCCTGGATTACTAAGGTAGATAAGATAACAATCCTGGTCCACTATTTTCCATAAGGCGGCTTTGGCTTAGCCTCAAACTTCTCAAACGTCAACAATGGAGGGGAAAAAATATGTCACGGGGTGTTCTGCCACATGTACAAGACTTAATGGTGTCCCGAGTTGAAGGGAACTATGGCCATGCCCTTTGGGTACTGCTCGTGCGTGCCGCCTGCGAAGTGCATCGGTTTTCGCCGACGCAATAGCGATGGGATCGACCACTGTGGTGTCCGCGCTCTCAAGCCGCCGGGCCAAGAGGCGCATGACGTTGTTATCGAGCCAAGACATGGGGCCCAGACTGCCGAATCTTGTCATTAGATCCGATAAATCTAAGGGGGACTTAAGGAGGTAGAGAGGGTCGAAGAGCTTAAGTAAGGCGCTGTAAGGAACCAGACGTAGCGAGGGTCGCTAGAATTGTGTCTGTTTGTGACCTAGACCCGGTTGAGACATTGGGCAAGATGTTGGCATTGATTTTAGTCGTGTCTGTTAGCGCTTTAGGCCCATATAGTAGGGTATCAGCTCTGGGTTCGTTTATTATTAGCATGCTTGGTTCCTCATCGAGGTTGGTGATAATATCTATCGTGGATGCGGGACAGTGTCTTGCCGTTTGCTCCGTTGCCAGAGGTGGTGTATCAAGCCGCGGGGATCTAGTACTTACTTAAGCTTTCGACAAGGGGTATCGAGGGGAGCAATGTCGTTGAGGATTTTTGATTGCGATCCAGGGGACCAGGACCTTCTTGCCGACTCTTTGCATCGATGACACTTCTGTAGATCGCTTACGTATCTCGGTAAGATGGATTTCGGGGCATGCTTTGCAAAACCTGGCGGTTAAAGATGTCAATGGCATTGTGCGAGCAGACGAGGTTTGAGCCGAACAAAAGGCAAATGACGCCGGCTGAAACCTTTGAGGGTGGCGGCAATAGCGCAGAGTCGCTTACGCAGGTCGGGTGCGATGGCCTCAATGTCGGGGCCGAACTGCGCATTAGTGCAGATGACGAGGACGGGCAGGTAGACCTTAGCGAATGCTCAGCCTGCGAAGCCGTAGTCGCGATGGATGTTGGTTCTGATGTTAGCAGCTATAAGTTAGGTTGTTGAGGTAAGTTGTTATGTATCTTGACAAGTCTGTCCGGTTACTTGCCCGGTTCATGAGTGATGTTAGTGAGACTGAACTTAGGAATAAGAGTGAGAGTGAGAACAAAAGTGAGATACGATGAGGGAGTGGTGGGACGACCCCAAGCCTTTGCCCCCCTGGACACTTCATTGGATTAGAAAGACAAGGGGAGCAGCAAGCCTGAAGACGCGTCCAATTTGGCAAAGGTCGCGCGTGAATGGCCTTGAAAAGTCGAGACGTCTATTATTGGCCTGTCCTGTCCAGCCATTTGAACAAAGCCTGAGGCCTTGCAAGCTACACGCCTTGGAAAATAATAATAATAATAATTCAAGCCTTAGACTTCCCAGGCTCAAAAGTCCAAGGCACACATATCTCAGTGCCTCACACCATTACGATGGGATAGAGTTGGTTACTGGGCCCAATTGGACTGGACCACCTGGTTGTGGCGTGAAGGGACCATGGTCCCGCCACGTCAAGCCGTGCCATGCCATTCATGTTGGTCACACAGGTCATACATTTCTTTTACCCGTTTAGGACGGCGCGTTAATTAGCATTAGCTAGATTTAGGATTTAGTATATTAATAATGCAGGTTATACCCAAGGGTGTTAGTCAGCCTTCGTCAAAGCTAAACACCCCCTCCTCACAGAGGAGGCAAAAAAATAGGGTTACTACTAGGAAAATAGGGTTACTACTTGTCCTAACCTAGTCCTACTTTTTATTATATTCTTACTAAAAACAAGTAATTATTTAGATATATTATTAATAAATATTAATAGTAACTAAACTACCTACCTTACTTTAACCCTTTAATATACTTTACTAATATAATAAGAATATAATTACTACTAAAAAGGTAGCTAAGATACTATATATTACTTATTAATAAGTAACTTACTAATAGGTAAGTAAGCTAGTAACTAATATACTCTTTATATACTAGGCTACCTAGGATTATAGTATATCTTATATAGTAATTTAAAAGTACCTCTAGGCCCTTTAGGAAGGCTATAACCTCTATATTAGCCTAGATAAGCCTAGCTAGCCCTAGTTACTTATAAAGGCTAAAGATATAGCTTTTAGTGCCTTTATTATATAGCTTTATAAATCTAGCTTTTTAGCCTTACTACTCTAGGTTAAAGAAATAGCTAACTACCTTTATAGTATCTAAGGTTAACTACTAGTCTTTAAGTACTTTATCTAAAGCTAGCTTACTAATTATCTAAAGCTTTAAAAAAAAGGCACTATTAAACTAGTTAAGTTATACTAGAAGAGGGCTAAGTTAGACTTAGCCCTAATAGAGGACTTCTTTACCTAGTACTAGGCTACCCTCTATAAGTATAATATTAGCCTATCTAAGATATAGAACACTAATAAATCTAGGTGCTAGATTAGCTACCTTAGTAGCTAGCTATATATAATTATTCTTAAGTAGCTACTAAAATATAACTATTTACCTAAAGTTATAGATCTAGCTAATTAAGAGTTATATATTTTAGTTAGGTCTAGTAATATATCTAGTAATATTATCCTAGTATATATAATCTTTAAAATATAGCTAGTTATTACTTAGGTAGATTACTAAGTTTAAGAAGGTATTTATTTTATATATTTACTAACTAGCTTCTTTAACTAAGAGATTATAATAGACTATATATAGTACTTTAATATAAAGTTATATATAAAGTTAATAAAGTATTACTAAATAAGTTACTTCTTTAGGGACTATTTTAGTGTTAATATATATAGTTATAATACCTATAATTTATATTTACCTAATAGTTAACTAAGTAAATAAATTATAAAGTATTATAACTATTAAAATACTATAAAAAAGTTAAAGTAGCTATATTACTTTTTCTTCTTTAATAGATTTATAAGCTATATAAGTCTAAAGCTTATAGAATATTATATTAACTTTAATATTATTTTTACTTTTTTTTTACTTTATATAATATACTTTCTTTAACTAATAAATATAAAAGTCTTTTAATACTTTAAGAAGGCCTAATAGATAATACTTTATAGGTATATATAAGAAGATAATCTTATATTTATAAGAGGTAACTTTATTACTACCCTTAATACTATAGTTAAAGAGGCCTTTACTACTACCTATATTATAAAAGGTTTTAAGAAGGCAAGTATATAGCCTATATATAATAATATTATACTTAGCTAACTAGTTAAGAAGATATAATAAAGTAATAAAGATATACTATTATATCTTATTTATTATTTACTATATAATAACTACTTTAATAAGGTAATCCTTACTACTAACTATATAGAGGAGAAATATAGTAGTATATAGAGTAGTCCTTTAAAGAGAGGATTTAAAGTAGTAAAGTAAGTAATTTATAAGAGATCTTTTACTTATAAGTACTAGTAGTAACACCTTAAGGACTAAAATACTAGACTAGAAATATAGTAATAAAAAAGCTAGTACTAGTAAGCTATTAAACTATAATACTCCTTTATAACTAGTATTATTATTATAGATATAAAAAAGGTATATAATAAGTAAGTTATAGAGGTAATATAAGTAAAAATATAGTACTAATAAGTAGTAGTAAAAAAAATAACCTATAAGTAAAAAAAAGAAGTCTAGTAGTAATATAGTACTACTAAGTATTAAGAGGTAAATAGATAAATAAAGTAATTAACCTTTAAATAGTAGCTAGTCTATACTAGAAAAGATTAACTATATATCCTATTTAACCCTTTAGATTTATAGTAGTATAATAATAATACTAAAGGTAAAAAGAAATTTACTATTAACCTTAACCTAGCTCTTTTACTATAGTATATACTTAACTAATTTAAGTATATAGTAAGACCTCTTAGTTAAGATAATATTAATTAGGTATTAGCTAATATAGCTACAGAGGTAATAAGGCTAGAATTTAACCTTAAGATCTTTATAGACATTAATAACCTTATTAACAAGGATATTAATTTAGTTATATTAAGTAAAGAATTAGTTATTATACCTAGGAGTAATAATAATAATAATAGTTATATATTATTACTATTACTACTAATAACACTAATAGCTAGCCTTTTAATATTATAAGGTCTTTTATAATATAAGTTATAATATTATACTATAAAAGATAAGATAAATAGCTAAAAGGCTATAAAGGTTATACTATAAAATTACCTATTTATACCCCTATTAATATAAATAAAAAAGGACTAGTAATATATAGTAAATAATAATAAAAGTAATACCTATATTATAGTAGTAATATAAATTTATAGTTATTATATAAAAAAAGAAAAAAAGGTATTATTATAAAGCCCTTAATTAGGGCTATTAATTAATACTACTCTTGTTATTATATAATGTTATAGGTATTATTACTTTAAGAAATAAAAAGTTGACTATACTATATAATGCACACAAAAGTGAGGGTATTTGTAATAAGGGTTAGTAACCCCTTTTTTAGAGTAGTAACCTTATTTTTTTGCCTTCTCTGTGAGGAGGGGGTATTTAGCTTATAGCGCTGACTAAGTTGCCCCTAGGTAGTTAACTAACTAGTTCTTGTCCTGCCATTATAGACAATTTATCCTGCTAACATTAGCTCTAACCTTTTAACCTCTTTTATGCCTCCCTATTCTATTTGCTTCTACTTGTTTTTAAAGGTTCTAAACTACTTTAATTCTTTTACTATTAATTAGTATTTTCTTTTATTAGTAAGACTAAAAGTTAAAAAGAATACACTAAGTACCTTATAAAGGAGGCTACTACTTTATAAAAGCTAGATAATAAAGAAGAGGTTAATAAATAAAATCTAAGGGAAGCTCTAGTAAATAGAGGAATATTTAGACCTTAAAAATAATACTAAGAGAGCTGTACTCTTTACTTTACCTCTCCCTTACTACAAACTACTAACTTCTGCTAAGCTACCTCCTTATAACCCCTTCTTCTACTACTAGTAATCTGCATAGCTGTGGGTTTTGCAGCTTCTGCCTTGGCCGTAGCAGTAATAAGTCCTGCGCCTTGCTGTGCAGCCTCAAGGGCCTTTTGGTTAGGCTACTTGAACTGTGTAGGAAATCTATTAAGGTCGTTACCAATGGCCTTGATACGATCTTCCATGGACTTAATGGTTTCGTTTTGTTTCTAAGCAGTGATAATAATGTTAGGTCAGGTAAGATAAAGAATAGCGGGAGCACAATAAGAACACGTGCGCTAAGATAGGAAAAGGGTACAAGAACGAAAGCCTCGCTCATGTTGTGCTTTAGGATAAAAACAAAACAGTCTTAGTTAATAAACTTACCGCCTAAACAATCTTGTGCACCATCTCCTCTGCATTGGTATTATACTCGCTTAAGATCTGCCGCTGCTGGTTGAAGAAGGCGTCGTTGCTCATCTTTAAATCTGTGTTAACAAGCGCTAGGCAATCCACAACCACTAAGCCCGGTCAAATAACATGTGTGTCCACATCAATGTACATGGTAGCGACATCCTTGTATAGCAAGAAGCTAGAGAGAATCTAGAGAACCATACGGAAAATAATCTAATTTTAAGAGTAAGGAGAACAAGGGTTAGTTTTACTTCTTAACTAATATTTAGAGAGAATAGATTCAGAGAAAAGGGCAAAGCAAGCAAGTAAAGAAAGCCTCACGTCTCAGTAATAGCTCTCGTAGAGCTCTGCTTTGGTCTTGTTATTCTGCGCATAGATCTCGAGCTCTCTTTGGACGGCTCAACTTGCTTAGTCATACAGACGTCAATCATGGCCGTCAGATTGCCAAAGAACACGACGAGCTTGCGGATCCTGTCTTTGAGCTCAATCAGGTACGAGACGCATTAGATAAGAATCTTATTAACCTCAACCTGTTGATTAAAGAAGGTTATAGTGTTAATGATTCAGCTGGCCCAAGTGGATTCTTTTTGCAAAGGAGTGCAGTAGAAAGAGACTATTTCGATAGTCATAGCTTATCAAACCCAGTTTCTTTGCGTCGAGCGCAGCGATCTCTGCACACGCTGCCTGAAGCGTCTCTTTGACGTCCTTGAGGTTATCGGCCGTCTTACGATATGTGTCGAGGGTAGCCTTGTACGTCTCCTGGGTGCTGGTGAGCTTCTGCGTGGCCGACTTGACATTCTGCTCCGCAATGGACTGCTTGCAGTTCATGTTGGCAATCTTCTCCTCAGGTGTCTGCTGGGGCGTGGTGAGCGAGACGCCGTGGGTGCCGACTCCGCCGGGCACTGCCTGCAAAGCGGCGTCGAGTGCGATGGCGTTGGTTGAGCAACGGGTGATGCAGTTGTCCCAGTCCTTATATACTGCCGACTGACGGGTCGGCTTCTCCCACTTGCTGAGTTGCGTAGATTTCGCCCCCTCAGCCTCGAGCTCCTCGGCAACGCCGATGGTCTCGGCGACGGTAACTATCAACAGCTGTGACGCGAGGCCTCCCTTGCGGGGCTTGAAACTCTTCAGGATACGGCTCAGGGCGTGGCTCGCGGTGACGAGCTCGCTGGCTTTGTTAGTGTCGCTCGAGGTGACCAGGTCCCAGTTGATGCCCTTCGGAAGGCCGAAGATGATCTTGATGACCTCGACTGACCAGACTCGGCGACCAAAGGTGCCAGGCCCAATGCTGGGTCGTCGGCCATGAAAGTACCCGAGAGGTCGTACTCGCCATAGCCACTGCTGCTACGGCTGGTTGTCTCCGTTGCCTGCTTTGTGGGCTCGGGCTTTATGTTGCTTTTGGTAGCCTCATCAGTCTTTGACTTGGCCTCGCGGATGAAGGTGGCGGCAAGCTTGGATGTGAGAAGCTTCTTTTTCGACTCGGCCTTTTGCTTCTGAGAAGTCTCATTCGCTTCACCACCAAGGTTAGTCGTGGCCACAGCGGTCGTGCTAGAGTTTCCGCTTGTGTCCGTTGTCAATGTCGCTGTCGTCGTTGGTGTCGACTTTGTCTCCGCCTTGAGGTCTTTGGCCAAGCTGGATAATCCCTTGGAAGCTTCACCAACGGATCCAACCGGATTCATAGACCCAGCGAATTTGTTGAGTGCCGTTCCAGTAGCCTCAGCAAGGCCCATAAGGATAGCACCACCGACCAGGTCCATACTGTAACATTTGTTGATGCCATGTCAGCGAGAGTTGTTGGCCGGGTCGCCGATATCTTGAGAAACTTTGTGGAGGTATCACTTACCCCATCAGCATCAAGTCACGAGCCTTCTTGTAGCTTTCCTTAGCATCCGTAAGGTGCTCGTCCATCTTGTCAAGCAATTTCTTCGCATCAGCCTCTTGCTGCACCCAGAACCTCTCATCCTCCTTGGCCATAGTGAGCTGCTGCTCTGTGCGACACTTCTGCTCCGCCACTGAGGCGCTGTTGTTGTTGCACACTTCGTGCAGCTCGTACACGAATCCGGCCCACAGATTCATGCTAACTTTAATCTGCTTGGCCGTAGTGTGACACTACTGTGCTGTCTCCTTCAACAGGCCCAGGCGGCTCAGAATGGCAGCCATTGGGGTGCTGGGATTGGCTAGCGCTTTATGGATCACCCTGACCTAGATTTCGGGTTGAAACAACCTTCATCAGCTCCGACTGACCTTAAGGAAAGTGGTAAAACGGGGCATTTGGGGATTTACAAGTCTCACCTGTTCGTGGACAGAGCTCGAGCTAAGTTAGATACTCGTCATGTTGGTGCGCGCTACGTCAAACAATCTACTCCCCTGGCTAGAAATACAAGCCAGAGCGCCACAGAGGTAGTCCGCGTTGGCAAGGTGCTTGAAAGTGCCAGACAGCGCTGTTGTTTCACCATACAGCGTCGCCGCGACAAGGTTAATATTACCAAGGATCTCCAGACAGTTTGGGGCCGCGATGAGCAGGCTGTCCCAGTTCTGCCTGAAGAACTCAGAGTTCTTTATGTCGTTCGCAACTTCGGCGGCAGTGACTAATCGTTCCTCATCCTCAGCAAGGATAGCGAGGGCTTCTTGAGTTGGCTGTGTGAGGGCTAGTATCTTGCCTGAAGTAAACGCCTCTAGGCTAAACGTTGTGGCATCTAAAGCGCCTTAATCTACCGTGCTTTTTTTATAGTGCAAAGATAAAAAAAGAAAGTTTAATCTTTTATTAGCTAACGCTGCTGTGCATAATCTGCTGGGTCCAGTTCACGTTGTCTGCAGCACACTGCATGACATTTTGTACAACTGCTAGGCATATTTCTAAGCATGGGATTTAGAGGCAACCATTAGAAAGCTGTAACGATGAGGCGTCTATAAGGCATCTAGATAAAGGAGTTGTCGTGCCCTGTCTAATAGATAGCAGTTGTTACTATTTAGTGATTTAATATAGTCTTTACTGTAAAATACATATAAATGTTAGGTTGATCTTGAGCTAGGATAAAAATAGAGTTACAGTAGAGTTTACTAATAAAATTTACTAAGTTAATTGTAATTAGGATCAATCTCTGGAGGGCCGGTTTATAGATGTGAATTGGGATACGGGACTAGGCTTGTGACTGTAACAGAGTGCTGTTTAAGTCCAGGTGGAACGAGAGTGACGATGACTTCAACTAACGGAGTGACAATCTTTAGAAATGCTGCCCACAGGGTAAAAGCCCCAAGCGACCTTGAGCGACCCTAAGCAAGACCTAAGTAGCTAAAACCAGACCTGCGATAACAATCACGCCATGTGCATAGTGCCCCTAATTCTATTTGTCAGATATGTTTGGCTAAAGCTGCAGCCAAGACGGTAAACCTATTTCAGCCAAGGTGGGTGGGTTGGATGCAGTGTGTCAACCTCTTATCCAAGTTGTGGCAGTGAATCCGCCACGGTTCATATTACAAGACTATCACTCAAATTGCGCCTGCAGCTCTACCCTGACAACGCATTCTGCAGTATCCACACCATTTTTCATGTAGGCTGTGTGAGATAATTAAGGCGAACTTCCTAGAGTAAGCCAATAAACAAGCTCCCAGCACCGCCTTAATGCATGCACGTTGCCTCAACTGATATGTACTTGGCGTCTCTGCGCCACATTTTACTTCGCCAACTCGCTTATCTTTGGAGCGGGGTTTTTTTTCAAGTCTTTGAATAACACCACCAGCTCTGTGTTCCGTAAATTTTGGTCAAAGTACGATTCTCGACCCAGAACAAGATTATCACAGAGCCACCTCTTGGATGGGAAAAGACGCAGCAAAATAGCTTATCTATCTACCTACCTGTAGGCTCATCATGGCCGACGCGTAGAACTACAGATATTGCGAGCCGGTCGAGAAAGCCCAAAGTAACAGCGATTTCAACCCCCATCAATCTCACACAAGGCTGCGCATTACCACAACTAGGCAACAAAAGTATACAAAAGCCGTACTTTGCAACATATGCCAGTTGTTGAATTGTAGGTAGCTGCACTTATATTTGCAGCTGCATTTTTTTAAAGCAATTATAGGCGTTTCTCTAGTTGCTACATATCGCAGTAGTCAGCCTATTTGATTGTTCTACTATGGCCGACCCGCTAAGTGTCTCCGCGAGCATCGCGGGACTCGTCACTTTGGTTGACATAGTTTACCTCCGGTTGACAAAGTACATCAAGTCTGTCAAAAATGCAGAGAAAGAGATAGCAGATCTTTGCAAAGAGGTTAATATGCTGGGAGGCGCCGTCAGCATGCTGTCTAGACTGGCAAGAGGCTTCGAGACCGAAAATGAGCCTCCGATCGTATCATTTCGGATGCACCACATTGAGGGTTGCTCCAGGATCCTTACTGAGATTTCCAACAAGATGAAGAAGCTTGAGGAGGGCCCTAGAAGCAAGATCAAAAGGCTGATATGGCCTTTCACATCCGCAACAACGAAGGAGATGATTGCCGAACTTTCTCGCCACAAACAAAACGTCAATCTGGCCTTGTCGGCCCAGTCAATGGATATTTTGCTCCGCTGCCTTGCCAAGGAGGAAGACCGACAACGAAGTATTGCCGAAGTTATGGCTGACGTCCAGAAAACACGAGAGATTGTAGTACGAATCAGTGTGGATTCTAGACGTCAGAAAATCCTGGATTTTTTCCTCGGTTACAATCCACAGCCCAACTTCGAAATGAGCATCAAACTACGGCACCCAAGGACTGGCTTATGGCTTGAAGCTCTACCCTCGTTCCAGAATTGGCTCCTGAATCCCGGCTCCAGGATGTGGTTGACTGGTATTCCTGGCGCCGGTAAGACAGTGCTTGCAGGCTCTATAATTGAAAATGCCCTTGCGCGAAGCTCGGAAACTGTTGCCACAGGCTTTTTCTTTTGCGATTACAAGAACCAGAAAACGCAGAATACAGTTAACGTACTAGCAGGCTTGGCTCATCAGCTTGCCAGGCAGAATGGAAAGGCTTTTGTGGCCCTAGAAGAGTACTACACTGAATTACACCCAGAAAAAGGCCTGCCTCGTACTCCATCTCCAGAAGACCTGGAACGAATCATTGTGAGAATGGCGGATATTTCTGACCAGACTTACCTGGTGATTGACGGTCTAGATGAATGTGGGGACAATGTCGAGCAGATTCTTTCGGCTTTGTGCAGCATTGCAGAAAACTCAGAGAGGATCTCGATGTTGATATTGAGCCGCGATGAACAAAACATTCGAGAGCGCCTGATAGAACCAGATGGGAGTTTCTTCAATTTGAAGATCGCGGCTCACACTGAAGATATCACTGAGTATGTCACAGCAGAGATTGAGAAGCGAATCGGCAACAAAAAACTCCATTTTGAAGACATCTCTCTCAAAGCGGAAATTTTGGAAGGTCTAGTCAGCGGAGCAAATGGAATGTAAGTGGTTATTTACTTGGAATATCATACCTCTGCTAATTTGTCATCCTGTCAGGTTCCGCTGGGTTTCTTGTCAACTAGATCATCTGGCAGACTGCATGTCAGACGACGAATGCCGAGAAGCCTTACGAAGTCTGCCACCCGATCTCCCAGAGACATATCTTCGCATCTTAAAGCGAGTCCCTAAGGCACAACAACACCATGTTCAGCTGACTCTTAATTTTATCGCCTTTGCTGAGCCGCGGCTTACTGTTGCGCAACTGAGAGAGATTTTGTCCCTGCCATCAAATGGGACTTTTCTGAGAGCATCTGGACTTATCCGAGAAGATGCAATTTCTCGACACTGCAGCAGTCTAGTTCGAACTTCTAACGACGGAGACTACTTGGAGTTTGCTCACTTTTCGGTTCAGGAGTTTCTCATCAGCGACGATCTAGAAACATGCGAATTTGGGATGTTCAACATCTCCAAACGCCGATGCAACAGGATTCTTGCTCAGCGCTGCGCAGAATATCTTATGCTAAGCAATTTCAACCACATGCCAACCGCCACGGAAGAACAGTTTTTTTACATCAACGAGCGCTCCCTGGCCAATCCTCTCTATGACTATGCTGCAATAAACTGGCTGCGTCATGCCAGGGAGCAATGGGACGATCCCGGCTTACTGAACACGGCAAAACGTCTATTCAGTCCAGTGAAAACGGCGCAATTTACCACATGGGCAGTCACTTTAGTACTGCATTTGCGTAGTGGGCGCTACAATTTACCAGAAAAGTACACGCTTATAACAGAAATGGCGGACCACAGCATGACAACGCTTCACTTCGCCGCCACGTTATCTCTGCCCGAAATCACATCATTTCTTCTCCAAGAATCTGGCCTTGAAAAGCGTAAATGTACATTGGGCAGCCCGTTGCAGTGTGCGATCAATTGCCTATATGGGTCCCTGCGGCTTAGAGAGGATAATGAGCTCTGGGAGGTTCCAAGATATGCTCGAACATATATTGGGACGCCTATATCTCCTAACCATTTTACCCTTCAGACAATTCGAATCATTCTGAACCACGGAACTGAATGTTCTGAAAGCGCTATAATGGACGCGATCAATACATGGATCCAGAGAAGTGACTTTTCAGTCCTTCACCTGCTTATTGCTGGAGGAATTGATATTAAACAACAAGACTTGGACGCCCTTTCTGTAGCGATGGACGAAGACTTGGAATTCTTGCTATGGAAACACAATCCAGAGTACATTTGGACTCTTGGTTGGCTATGTGAACATTTGAGTTCTAGGATTGACGAATTGAGTATCCTTTTGGATTTTTGTTGACAATGTTTTTCCTATATGCAGTACTTGGAAACACGTGAGGGAGCCAATTATCTGAAAGGATTGAATATTGATCCCTGCGTTTTTGATGACAAACAGAGTCTTGAAACAATAGCCTAGTTAGCTTGCTGTTATAAGCCTAATGTCGAGGCGCTTGAAACTCTTTCTTTAAACCCACGATTGGATCTTTTGACTGTTACTGATAACGATGGATTTAGTCTATTGCATCTTCTGGCATTGACAACAAGTGATTGCTACGACTGGGATTTTGAAGAAGTGCGGCAAGCTATTGATATCTTACTGGATGCTGATTGCAGCCTCTTGGCGTAGAATAACGATGGGTTTACTCTGCTTATGCTTGCACTTGAAATATGAAATATGAAGTGTGCTGAACTGATGTCTAAGAACTGCTAAGCGGGACCTGAAGCTTGGAAGAGTCTAGTTCTAATCCTGCCTTTAGTAGTAGAGTTAAGCTCTACTGCCCTTCTTAACTGATATCTGAGCCTGGGTTTAGATATTAGGTCTGAGAAGTATAAAACCATGACTTTACTTTACGCTTTGCTATCTGATGCAACCTTGGGTTTTACTAAGAAATTATTGCGATTGATTCCTGGAGCACGAGAGCGCTAGATAAATGGAAGATTGCTGTGGGAAGAGTACTTGGAAAGACATGTATGGTCCCTATATTCTCTGGGTGTGTTTAAATTCTTAGTTTGACCTTTTCGTACGAATCAATCTGAGGCACTAAAAGTCTGGATTGCGTTTATGAAGAAAGTCTTATAAGAAGGATGTGACTTAATAATTAGAGTATGGTCTAACTAGTGTATTAATTGGCTGTTTTGGGTTGGAATTTTTGAGCGTTACGAGGAAGCATGAGGGCAATTAGCTCTTGTGCTATTACTTGAGGCGTCTGTTGATAGATGGATGAGTAAAAGCGGCACTAATGACAGGTTTCTATTAACAGATAACATAACGTTTGTTTTGTTAAAGGGTATAAAACACTGGAACGGATTTTGACACTTGATTTACGCTGTTGAAATGTTAAAGCTGTTTTTAAAGCTCTACTACAAGATAACAACTAGTGAGCTGCTGCTTAGAGGTGTTGACGTCTATTGATGATTAAAAGGCGTCTCTTTAATGGAGTATATCTATTCCTTACTGGCGACATTGGAAAAAGACGTTGACTGGCTTAAGATGTTACTAGAACACACTAACTCTGCCTTCCTAAATTAGATAAATCTAAAAACAGGGTTAGGCCTTATTTATCTCTTAAACGAACAAAATGTGCTATAATATAGGTAAAGGCTGCTTAATATAATTCTGGATTGAGGTGTAGATCCTAACCTCTGCACTTCTACTGATTTCTGTACGTCTGTATTGACCCTCCACTTGTCTACGAAAAAGTTTGACTTGGCGTTGATCCTTCTTAAACATGGAGCGGATCTAACGATTTTTAATAAAAGCGGTTGGATGGCTGTTTACATGACTGCTTTGACAGGTGCCACGTCCTTCTTATTTGAACTACTGTTACATGATAATGCTACTTGGAAGATCTGCTGGGACTTGCAGTGTTGTATATCGACTAAATCTGGCAAGCATTTCAGTGGCGTAACTGCGTTATATCTTGCTGCTATGGGTTTGGTTGATTTCCTGAACACCCTGTTGAGTACAGTGCCTTGTCTTGACCTGGAGGCGAAGGCGAATAATAGCTTCACTGCTCTACACTTTGCGACAGATACAGGAAACGCAGACGCAATTGAGGTCCTGGTTTATCGAGGGGCGGACATCAATGCTACGTTCAATGGCGGCCAATTGGCTCTTCACATTGCTGTGAGCAGTGGGGATCTCACAGCAATTGACAGGTTGCTATACCTAGGGTCCAATTGCTAGGGGGATTTAATTGGAATATTGCCCTTGAGTTTGGCGTACTAGACAAACTAACAAGACATTGCCACGCGTCTACTTCAACATGTCATCAGCCAGCCCTATGAGCTTATTGATGGTACATAGCATTCTGGCTTCAGCAGTATGGTGTTTGGAGCTATTTAAGCAGGAAATCTCTCCCTTTGCTAGAGGCTTTTGTGAGATCCTTGTTCTGTTGACATAGATATATGTCTCTACATCCTGTTGGGCAACACTCCATTAGTATGCGCTATTAATTGTGGGAACTTGTCTATTGTTATGTGGCTCTTAGAAATAGGAGCAAACGCTAACTGTAAACACAAAAATGGAACATCTGCTATCTAAAGAATGGTTTAAAGTCACTTGCTTAATCCTGTGTTAGAGCGAATGCTAGTGAAGTATCTAAAGGATGGTGGCAGCTTCCTTAAAGAAGGATGGTGTCCCTTAAGCTTGGCTGTAACCACGAACAACATGCAAGGGCTATAGATTCTTCTAGAACACCTTAAGACAAACGTAAAGTATTATACGTAAGCAGAGCCCTTATGTACTAAAGAAGGCTATTAACCTAGTGCTAGTACTTAGGCTAGCATAGAAGAATATAATGCCCTTTATTTAGTAGTTAATTGCGTGCATTATAAGGCTATAGTACTATATTATATAGTTAATATAAAGAACCAAGAAGCAATTCAGCTTCTTATCTAAAATAGTGCTAATCTAGAGGGCAGAGACTAGAAAAACCAGACTCTACTTCTTGTCGCGCTTTAAGGGCTAGTATCTCTAGTAACACTATCTATTACTTAGATTCTACTCCAGGCTAGCAGCAACATGCAATATTCTAACAGTAACAGTATATTACTAATTACAAGAGCTTATAAGAACAGCAACTTAGACACAGTCTCCTTACTAGTGGACTCTCTACATAATGCACACGCGACAGACTAAAGAGGACAGAATATTTTATATTACCTTGCAGCAGGTCCAGACTGCTAACAAGGCAGCATAATCCGCTCCATGTTTCTTAGGTATATCTAGGTAGGTGTTAATCCCTGTAAAGAGGACAACGCTAGGTGGACGCCTCTTTATCTAAGCATGCAGCAGAGATCTATGACATTATTGCTACTTAATAGGGACTTTTAAGACTTGAAAAGTAAACCAGTACCTTGGAAGGGTGATGTATATGGGTGGTCACGCATAGGGGTAATAGTGACCTCTTTATTCTAATTATACTGCCGTAAGTTTTTGGTGGAATGCCTTAGAGAGGTACTTAATCTGGAGCCTGTTGATACCTAGAGTCCCCTTTGTTAAGCAGCAGCTAGAGGAGAGATTGCGGCTATAAGGAATCTTCTGTTACTAGGTGCTAGTATTGACTTTGAGGGCAGCTCTAAAGGCTCTGCTTTGATGGTAGCGTGTAGAGAGAGATAATTTGTGACTGTTATTTTTCTTGTTTGTTGTGGTGCTTCTGTATCCTTCTAAGGGCGCTTTAGAGTTTGGTCTGCAGTTCATGCTGCCTCTAACTTAGCGCAAATCCTGTATTGGTTACTTGTTGGTTGATTTACAGACTAGTTTAAACTTAATTAGTCTTAGGATGAATTACTAAGAGCAGTGGATTATATTTAATACTAGAGCAGCATTGCTAAGGCTGAGATGGTGTTGTTAGGGTTATGGGAACGGCTTCTAAGTGAGTCCTCTTGACAATATTGGTCATGTTTGTTGAGAATAAAGGAAGAGCTCTGAGGAAAGGTAATCCCTCTGGACTAAGGAGCTAAAACGTAGAGGCAGTTAAAACTAGTCCTATTAGAGACAGTTAAGTTAGCTAAGATAAAATATTAGTATAAGGACTAGAGAGGAGAGTAGAATAGATTTTAATTTACTAGAGGAGAGATATAAGTAGACTATAGTAATATTAGCTTACTTTTTTACTTATTACCTATAGGTCTACTACTTACTTAAGTATATTTAGATAAGAAAAATTAGCGTGTATTCTATAGTAGGTATATCTCTTATAAAGTAAAAGGCTAAATCTATTAAAGTATATATATATAGTAATTAACCTTATTTAATTTATTAGTATAAATATATATATATAGACTAAAAGTTACCTTTATTTCTAATTACTTAAAGTAAAATATATATAATATACTTATTGTTGGTTTTCTACTGCTTAAACAAGGGGATATCCTAAGTTTATTAATAAGTAAAAGGTTAATTATTAGTTATTAATAATAGTTAACTAGTTCTTAAGGTAAAGTAGAAGCATAAGTGTAGTAGTACCCTTACGTATAGGCAAAAGTAGAGGATTCTACTAGTAGGCAGTGTATTATATAATCTACTGCCTCTAGCTATATTACCTATATACTAACACTAGTAACTTTCTTATATAGTAAAAGTTACTAGTGCTCTTATTCCTCCTAAAAAGCCTAAAAATATAATAAAAACAAGAGAGTAAAAGTATTATACTTTTTATAGTTATATACTACTATAAATTTATTTATTTATTTACCTAGTAGAGGTAGGCTTATACTATCTTATTTAGGTATATTTCTCTTTAGTTATAGCTATTAGAGGTATATACCTACGTTAAATAGATTTAACTACTATTAATCTATATAGTTTATATAACCTATTTCTTTCTCTAAGTACCTATTATCCTATATCCTATTATTCTTATTATTTTCTATTATATATATATAACTTATCTCTTTATTTATATCTTTACCTTGTTGTTAAAGATAAGACTCTTAAGTGCTTAGTTTAGTAAGGACTTTATAAACTTATTAGTAAGGTTATTATTACTATAGATCTATTATACCTTAAAAAGCTTATATTACTTATATAACTATTATAGTACTATAATGTTAATTATTAAGTGCTTCTTATAAGTAGTTCTTAACTTTACTAAGCACTTATATAGTAAGTATAAGTTAGTGTAAGTAATAGTAAAGATTAATAGGTTACTAAGCTTATTTACTACTATTATAATAGTTATAGAGAGAGTATACACTATATTAACGCCTATAACTATACTATAGACTTCTAATATAAGAACACTTTATATTACTTGTTTAGATTTAGTTAATAAGAAATAAAGGATATTACTATAG